CGCTTTATCTCCTAATATGATTCAAAGTCTTTACATTATAGGAAGTATGGTCTATTAAGTAACCATTTTTCATTACTTTAGACTTGCTGGTGTTTACTGGTCGTGGAATCGACTTATAGTTAGTTAAAAGCTAAATATGATTGACAGGATTTGAACCCGTGGCCTTTGAATCAAAGCTACGTGCACTTTCACTATACCAGCTGATTTCCCTAAGAGTAAATCCTAAAATAAATTTTAATTTTGGTAATAGTATGTATTAAAACGTGTTCGTATATAAGTCAAAACGTCTAAATAGTCGTTCATATGGAACATATATAAAAATAAATAAGTATGGAGTACAGTTTAAAGGAAAGTTCTTTTAGTGTGAGCGGTAGTTAGTATTACACATGATTAACTATTATTAAAAAAGTCGTAGACTATTTATTTATAATATCAAATAAAAAATACTCTGATGTCTTTCAATAATTGGTACACTTTCAAGTTACTCCGTCCCCAAATTGACTAAATGGAAATAATTGGTCTTTGAGAGCGACCACTACCATTAATGGCAATTGAAGAAAATTACTTTCATATAAGGACTCAAAGTGAATGCAACTTCAAGGCCTGCTTTTAGCTCTTGATAGTTCTTGATTAAATTATGAGATCTATACCAAAGGCAAGTAATATTGATTCTCTGTACAAACGGTAAATATTACTATTACACGAAAACTACGAGTTTTATTATTATATGTTAACTCATCTGTAATTATATAAAACAAATAAGATATTTGACTACAATTTTAGTAGAGGGAGATAACTATTACAAAAAACATACTCTTAACCATAAGGTATTTTTTTCTAGATACAGTATGCTGAGTGTCCCGTAATTCCCAAAAATAGGGAAAGGTTTAGATTCTCACAATAAAATTGAAATCAAAAACTAATTTGTTTGTAAAACACTTAGTTAGCAAGATATCCGCTTTTGGTTTTTTTTGTTTTGAATCCATATACAAAATTAATTTAGTAATCTAAATTTATTTTTAATATAAATTTTTTTTTGTATTTACGGAAAAAACATAAAAAAAATGTTAATTTCAAATGGATGTAATTTTAATTTTAATAAAATAAATCACTAAAAAAGTCTTAATTAATAATATAAAAAAATTAAATTCATACATATGATATATACCATCATCTATAAAACGACACAGGAGTTTTGAAAGTACAAATAATTGACAGCTGAAAATCACAAGTTTTAGTTCTACAGACTGTTAGGTTACTCCTCATTTTGCGTCTTTATTTCAGAGTGGGTGTATATGAAACACCAGTCCACTATGCCATAGTATTTGATTAGGATAACATAGTGAAATTATGTATGAAATATTTCGTTTATCTACAAGTTATTAAGTTGCAGATTCCCATATTTCAATATAAGTTAAATAGAACTTTATTACTAAATTTTTGCTTGTGTGCTTCATTTTCCGTGAGCAATGAAAACATTTCCGAGGAAACTAAGCTTTTTATGAGGCGGTAAATTATAATACAATAAATTAAATAGACAGTTTAAGTTGTCTAATAAAGTAAACACTAAAAACAACGATTTAGTGATAAATTGCAGAGTAAATCAAATAGTATCAAATCAACAAAAAACATGTCCAAATATTGGGTAAATGGATTGTTTAAAGAAATCAACATGAACACAGACATCCTTTACCGATCATTCACTGAATAAACCATTATAAATGAAAATACCTCTGTTGCAGCAAACCTGCTGAGAAAGCGAATTTAAATTTTTCTGATTGGACCCTTACTAAATACTAACATATCAAATTGATTCTTAATTCGAGAAAAAACATTGTTTACGCTTAACTTTAGTTTGCTGCTGCATAGAAGGTATTTTTGGTTACAATTTTTTAATAGTTTAGTACAAAGATTACCAGTTGTGACCAAAACATATTCATAAACAAGTATCAGTTTACTTATCCTCATTAAAAATAACACAAGTAAAGAATTATTGTTTTGTTGTTGTCAAGAAAAACTTTTAAATTTTTTCTTCAGTAACTACACAACGTATAACAACGCTTCAATATATACAATTATTTATTTTTTAGAGCTTTAAATTATGGCTGCCATGGTAATAGTTCTTCTTAATTATGGATAATTCTCCAAAAACAACAAATCCGCAAGGAAATTGGACAGTAAATAATACATTAACACTTCCATTTTCTTGCATAAAAATTCGAACTATTAAAATAAAGAAAACAAAAAAGTGCTATTTCTCTTTACTTCTAATTGTATTGAACAATATTTAAATTTAATTTATAAACTTCCCATCTAATTTTCTTTATTGGTAAACAAAAAAATATGAAAAGACCTTTGCCACAGAATTCCACATAGTATATTTCGTGTATTACGTCATTGCAAAGTATTGCTTACCGATTCCTTTACAGATAAAAACACCCAACTTCCCTTAGCTGATGCAGAGTGTACTTTATTATTCAGCAATAAAAAACTGATCTTGTAAAATGCATACGTTCTTTTCCCTGGTGTACACGACCGATCTAAAGTACTGTATTTCTACATCCGAGTAAATACATTTTTATGTTTACATACTCTAGGAAAGTATGGTTTAGTAATGTAGTCTTTATAGCTTAATATTTACCTAACCAAAAGAATACCAAAGAAGATATTTGTTGAGTTAATCTAATGCTTAATAATCTTCCCTTTATACATTATTTTAATGACAAGGTATAGGTCCTTGCTAAATAATCTTTCTTTTATACATTATTTTAATGACAAGGTATAGGTCCTTGCTAAATAATCTTTCTTTTATACATTATTTTAATGACAAGGTATATATAATTTGGATCAGATCAACATCCGATTCTTCATAACCCTTCTCCCTCCCAAATTAGACCAGCAGAATCTCATCCGAAAAAGTCTGTATTTTGGGCTATATAAAATCAAATACACGCTCACATTATTGTATTCAATTATATATGTACGGTTTACGTACTGTTCCGTAAAAATATCTATAGTCAGTTATAAATGTACATTAAGCCTTTTTAACATTTTATGTACTGTTTATTATAAGTTTTTTTAGCATGTAATAGTATATTTCGTACCTAGGGCCAAAAATTAGGTTTTGCCGGCTCGAAATAGGTTTTAAGTTCGAGACGAAGTCCTTAAACCCTTTATGATATAAGTATTTATAAGATCTAAGATCGAAACAGAATTATTTGATTTATCTCCTGCAATTGAGGACATTTTCCCAAAACAGTGAAATAACGAGTATTTATTACATCCAGAACGTTAAAACGATGCAGATTGTTCTGTCAGAACACAAATTACAGCAATATCGCTCTTTGTCCTGATATTGGCTATCAATTACCGTATTTGTTTACGCAAAATTACAGTGATATGCGTTGGACAATACGTTAGTGATTGGTGTGTGTCCAATGAAAACCATTTCTAATTGACAAAACTTTGAATGTATAGTGGGAGTAGATTGATGATTTTGGTAAAAAAAATCGCTGTGGTTAATCTAGCTGTTAACAATTATTGCAGTTTTTATTCGATACTGGGTTTTTGTTTCAATTAGGTGTATTAGTTTTTGTACATTGGTCTAATACCACTAAGTTTACAAGTTTGAAATGTTACATTACAAAATCTTAGGTTAGGTTAGCTTGTAGGTTAGGTTAGGTAATTTACTAGCATTAATTAGTATGGTGTGTTTATTTGCTAGTAGTAGAACACTGCCACTCAACTGATCTTCGGTGTCAATTCACGCTTCTTATCAGTAAGATAAGATATAAAGATAATATACAAACGATAATAAAAGATAGAAGATAATATAAGACGAGATAGAAGAAATGATAAGCCAGGAGATAACATAAGATAGAAGATAAGATAAGATAGTAAGATAAGTAAATCCAACCAATGATAGTTTGTAAAATGGTATACATTACTGGTGTGATATACAATTACTGGGTCGCATTATGTTCTGTGTAACATACATCATAATTGGGATTGTGTATTGTTACATAAATGGCACGTAGCGGTAGACGTTGGCCCAAAGCTTTTACTAACAAGACATGTACTGCGTTTTAGCATTGAGGGTACATAATATATGTCAATATTGAATAGTTTCTGACACGGAGAGAATGTTTTCGTGGCCTGTGAGACGTTTTGCTTTATTTTTAATGGGTTAACGTACGGCTAAATGGGAGCTTTAAACCATCGATAGGCGTCCTTTAAATAACTATGAACATTGTTGGTGGCCTGGACTTGAACCCGAGCATAATCATAATCTTGCAGAATCTTAGCATAATCTTGTCCTATAACTTCTAAAGCATCTACATCCCATGGAATGAAGATCTATACATCAAATCTTCAAGTTACACTTAAACAGATTTACTGAGCGTATTTGGTATAGACTATGTTCAAGTATTAAGGATGAATTGAAAATAAATATTGATAAAAACATACGTTACCAACAGTTTTGAAACTAAAAGTTAACTGTAACGTGATCAAAAATCTTGCAGCTAATCATTCGAATTTCGTATAAACTAAAATAAAGACTACAGTGACTATTGCAGTTTTACATTATGCATATTTTGGAAAAAAAAAATAAAGTGAAAAGTACGCAAAGTGATACTACGGAAATAATAATTTTCTTAAGTAAAGATATGTAATTTTTCTCTAATATCCTTACTATAGTAGGATACGAGTACTATACGAGTAGAGGGATTTAGCGGCTCCGGCGGCAGTGAGCGTGAGTGAGCGTGTGAGCGTGTGACGTCACACGACGCCGCCCCCGCCCCCGCCCCACCCCCACCCCGACGCCACCCCGCCCCCCGACGCCCCCGCCCCCGGCGCCACCCCCACCCCCGGCACCACCCCCACCCCCGTCGCTAACCCCTACCACCATCGCGCAGGTTCAAGGTCATCCTTTGTTGTCTGGAACCACCCTACGCATCGTGGGAGGTCTCCAAGCCAACCCTCCCTACACCATCACTCACTGTCAGCCGCAGCTGCTCCGCAACACCTGCGCTCCAAGCGGCCCCCCGCTCCTCCCTTGTATTCTTTGTTCTCCGCATAGCGCACACTTATTTACCACCAATAGGATGTTAGCTTATTTTGACCAATCAGAGAGCAGTTTTGTTCTCCGCATAGCAACAAGTCGCTCATCGCACGCTCCCCCGTCGATCTCTATCCAGTCTGCTCCCAGCTACCACAGTGATTAGACGTATTCGTGACTCTATTAAATCAAGTAATTTATCCATCACGAGTTCGCGCTTTGTGTCATCATTGGATCATCACAATAATAATTATTGTAAGTATTTTATTATTAAATAACAATTTTTCTTTTCATTATAAGTGTAAACCATTTTTAGAAGTGAACTAAGTATGATTATTAAATATCACATTTCAAACTACGTTTAATAGTATTGATAAATGTAAGCATTTTATTATCATATTTATAAAAATAATCATTTTAGTTTTGTGAAGTAGTAGTGGGAAACAATAGTATACCATACAACTAATTTTCAAAGATAGTATTTAAAGTGATTACTACATTTGAATTTCATGCATTAGTAGTGGAGAAATGGAACATTCCCACCCTCACATTAAATATTTAAAATATGTTATTGAAAGTGATTGTACATTTACATTTTGTACATTAGTAGTGTGGAAACAGATATTTTATCACGTATTATAATTATCAACGATAGTATTCAAAGTGATTACTACATTTCAATTTTGTAAGTTAGTAGTGCGGAAACAGAGACTTCATCACATAATATAATTAACAAATAAAGTATTTTATGTAATTATTATATTTAAATTTTTATGCATTACTAGTAAGGTAACATACATCTCCAGGTATCATACAACGTATCAAATTTAGTATTCAAAGTGGTTGTTATATTTAAATGATTTTTATTTACATTTGGTGTATTAGTAGTGTACAAACAGATATTCCATCACATATTAAAATTATCTGTTGTACTAACAGAAAAATATTTGTGTGCAATAGTAGTGGGAAATAGATTATTTAGTCAGTACACTAATCGCATTTCAATGATTCAGATTATGGAGAATGTCCTAGAACGACCATACGTGTGCGCCATTTGCAGCAGCAGCTTCAGGCTGAAACAGCATGCTGTTGAGCATGTCAGGACAGTTCATTGCAACGTCAACGATTTGCATAACTGCCCCGACTGTGGTCGTGCATTCAATCGACGGAGCAACCTCCTACGTCACCAACGCACGGTTCACGCTCCAACGCCGTCAGTAGCATGCCTACTACCTGCGCCTAGAGTAGAACCATTGCCTGAACCCATACCAGGACCATCATCAGCTCCATATACAACACCACTACAACCAACAGTTCAACATGAGGAGATCCGTCCAGCAGGTATGTATTGTTTTTTCTTTGTTTTACTATCCTTATCTTTGATATTTACTAACAGGTAATTACATTATTCAAAAAATAAACCAACAAACTACTTTTAGCAGTTGTTGTACGTATGTATTTTGTTTCTTAAAACAAACTAAATTTTATCCATTAAAAATATTTAAAAATCCTAAACTCTACTAACTATTTTTTTTTTTACCAAAAGCCAAGTGAAATAAAGATTATTAATATATATCATTAATATAATATAGCTAAATATAATTCTGAAACAGTAAATTAAATTAGGCAAAAAAAACATGTAAAATAATTATTTATATTTATCCGTCTGTGTAATATGTGTACTAATGTTTTTTCAGGACTATTCGTGTGCGAGACGTGCGGGAAGACGTTCTCGAGGAAAGATAATCTACAATGTCATACCCGATATCGCCGCTGTCATCCAGTCAAGCTCACCTCAGCACTACCAGGCTTCAGTGGACTACAACCTCCACCTTCCCCAGCCACGTCAACGTCGTCAGGATGACGATGAAGCACCAATCATTCCATCCGACCTGGCACCAGAGGGCTTCGCAGAAGTCGAGACTGCATTCCGCGGGCGGTTAAAGACATACCGTCTGATCGAACCTGTGGATGAAGCCATCACACTTCAAGAGTTCCTCAACAATGTGCGTGATCAGGTAATCACACTCATGCGCAATTTGTTAGCCATCATTCATGCCCTTAAGGTAAATCTCTGGATTGAATGTGAATTTGTTAATATTCACGGTGAAACGTGTAGGCGAGTATTAAAAACTTGCAACGTAGTCCTGCTCCAAACATCAGATGTTGATGAAATATGTAGGGAGTTTATTCTGAAACTTCTGTTGGAAAAGGAGACATGCGAGCTACGAGGATCGGGATGGAGCTTTGTTAGGGTTATGACTATGGAAGTGAGAGTTAATGTTTATAATCCTCTCAGAGGTAGCTCCTACATCCCACTGCCACAGGAAATAGCCGCGAAACAAGCTGTACTTAACGTGCTGAACGATGCGGACGAAAGGTGTTTTGAATATGCCATTTTATCCAAATATATTGACAATCCTTCCCACGCACAACTTCGTCCAAATATGTTCACTACGGAGGTTCGTGCAACAGCAAATTTAAATTTTAGTAATATTGAATTTCCAACAAAATTAGATCAGATCCGCATGTTTGAGCGCAACAACCCCGGCGTTAGCGTAAATGTGTACGGTTTGGACAGTAAGAAGAAGAAGAATAAGACCAATGGTAGGATTGAAGATAAAACATATGTATATCCACTCCGTGTCGTCGACCAAGAATTGGTTAATCACTTTGACTTACTATTTCTGACAAATCAAAGCACAACGCATTTTGCATTTATTAAAGATTTTGAGCGGTTGGTAACTAGTCAGTTGACTCGTGGTAAACGTGCGATTTTTATATGTAAACGATGCTTTGCATATTTTGACAACCAACCGACTAAATTAGGGCTCAGAGGGGCGGAGCGATTAGAAGAACATAAACGCTACTGTTCAAAACACACGCCACTGAGAACTGACCTTGCAGAAGAAAAGGAAATTAAATTTAAAAATTATGAGCGAACTCAGCGTAGTCGTTTTACGATATACGCAGACTTTGAGTGCGCACTTGTACCACACGAAGCTGACCAACCTATCGAACCTACACCAACTATAGTGCCACCTGCTTGGGACCCAGCAGGTAATAGAATAGTAGGGGGAGGTCAGCAAAATGCAAATGCACCTAATAATGTCAGGAATATCCATACACCGTACGCATATGCTTATTACATTCATGACGACCAGAGGGATGTCAACGATGGTGACGCAGATGATGATGACCCAGCCTGCACTACGTTCTCCAAGCTGCGACTATACCGAGGTGAAGACACCGCTAATCACTTCATCAACTCTGTACGGGATGACGTGCGGAAGATTGGTGACATCCTCTATGGACATCGGATACCAAATGATCCCCCACAGTTAACACCACAAGAGGAGATAATATATCAACAGTCTACAGTATGTCATATCTGCAAAAAAGAGTTTGGTCCTGCTGATGAAGACAATAAGGTGAGGGATCATCAACATTCACCACCGTACAGGTTCTGAGGAGCGGCACATCGATTTTGTAACCTCCGGTACAAGGAACAAGAACAAGTGAACATGTACCTGCATAACCTATCCAACTATGATGCACACTTTATTGTCAGAGAGCTCGCAGTGGATAAAGGTGATATTGATGTGCTCGCCAACACCGAGGAAAAATACATTACCTTTTCTAAGCGATTCAAACATCCGGGAGCAGGTCGGAGGAAAAGCATCAAACTACAATTTGTCGATTCATACCGACTGATGTCAAAATCACTAGCAATATTGGCATCAATTCTTCCAGCTGATAAAATGAGCATAACAAGAGCTCGCTACCCGGATCAAGAAGAGTTTGACATGCTACGTAGGAAAGGCATTTTCCCTTATGAGCACATTACATCCCAGGATGTACTGAACGAAGAAGTCCTACCACCAAAGCAGGTTTTTGGGAATAATGTGACAGATGATGATTACGCGCACGCTCAGCGTGTCTGGTCCAAGTTCAACTGCACAACCCTCGGACAATATGCTGACATCTACCTACAAACAGACGTACTACTGTTGGCAGATGTGTTCGAGGGGTTCAGGGAGATGTGTCTAACACACTACGGCTTGGACCCAGCACATTATTTAACATTACCTTCATACGCGTGGGATGTCATGTTGTTCAAGACCGGCGTGATACTTGATACCCTTCAAGATGTAGATCAGTATTTATTTTTTGAAAAGGGTATTCGAGGTGGACTCACCCAATGCGTCACTAGACACGTCACCGCAAACAACAAGTTTACCAGGATGGAAAATAAAATTGGTGATCGAAACGGTCAGTGCGCATCAACAAGTGAAGCAGATAATGAAGAGAATGATGATGATACATTTTTAATGTACTATGACGCCAATAACTTGTATGGATGGGCAATGTCTCAGCCATTACCTTACGCCCAGTTTGAGTGGCTATCACGTGCGGAATGCGATGACTTGAACATTGCAGAAATTCCATCGGATGGTGAGTATGGTTATGTACTGGAAGTGGATCTGGAGTACCCGAGGGATCATGCCATTCATGATAAGCACCGTGACTTACCATTCTGTCCCGAGGTGCGAAAGGCACCAATTTATCAATTACCATATTCATCGGATGACATCACCAACAGCGGTGCGGGAAGATCCAATAAACTTATGGCCACACTAACGGATAAGGAAGAATATGTGATCCATTATCGTTACCTCCAACAAGCTATGGAAAATGGACTACGACTTTGTCATATCCACAGAGCACTCCGATTCAAACAGTCACCGTGGTTAAAACCGTACGTGACATTGAATACTGAACTCAGACAGCGTGCCAGCAATAAATTTGAAGTTGAGATGTTTAAGCTGATGGTAAACGCTGTCTACGGCATGAGTCTCCAGAATGTGAGGAAACATCAAAATCTCAAACTAGCAGCCTCCCACAAAATTTACACAAAGTATGTGGCCAAGGCAAATTTCAATGACAGAGTTTGGTATAACGAGAACCTGGCCCTGCTTCAAATGGGAAAAGTGAGAATTGTACTTAGTAAGCCAGTATATGCAGGAATGTGTATTCTGGACCATAGTAAAAGATGGATGTACGGTTTTCACTACGACATGGTAGAACGATACGGATTGAATAGAATACGGATGACGTATATTGACACTGATGGGATTATTTATGCTATCCGTACCAGAAACGTCTACCGCGACATGATACAACACCTCGATGACTTTGACACTAGCAACTACCCCAAAAATCACATCTGCTATGACGGAAGCAACGCAAGAGTCCTGGGAAAGTTTAAGGACGAAGCAGGAGGAGTCACTATCAATATGTTCATAGGGTTGATGGCTAAACTATATTGTTTTGTTTTCGGTAAGAGTTCTTGCTCTGAGGGTAACGGAGATGATAACTACGATATTGGTGCACCACCACCTGTCAAGAGGGCAAAGGGTGTTAATCGCGATGTTGTTAAAAATAAATTGACTGTTGATGACTACTTGGACTGTCTCTATAACAAAACTTGTAAGAGCACAGACAATCAGCGCTTCCAAAGTAGGCATCATATTATGTACACAGTCGTGGTGAGGAAACGATCTCTGGCACCGTTTGACGATAAGCGATACGTCATGCCAGAGGATGGAATTTCTACACTACCATGGGGGCATTATGCTATACCCCCCAGAGCACCACCACTACCCGCAGCACCATTTTTACCAGCTCCGATGGAGTTGGACGAAAATTAAATTGTATAGGTAACGAGTCGCATGAGTGTGATGGTTATAGGGCGTTTATGTGTGTGATAAAACAATAAACAGTGAATAGACACTTTAAAGATTATCATATTATAATAATATAGTTAATAGCATTCAGATTTATGTTACAACTCAATGTAAAAGTGATATCATTTAAATTTTTGTTGTATAATATTTTTATTTAAAGTTTACGACTTGGTCCCTGAACTCAAACTATTCTTTGCAGAAACATAATCTCAGAATATTTGCCGTAAGTAATGTATATAATGTTTATATTTCTGAATAAAGTTGATTGATTAATTGATTGAATATTTTAGTTATGATTCTAGTCTTTGTTTGTTTTCTTTTGTTTGTTTCTGTTAATAAACCAGACACATTTTGTATGACTTGTGCGTTATATTTTTATCCCATCAACCTCTTTTGAATAAAACTAAATTTGCAATTTTTCACTTGTAAAAATAATAAGGTAACTTAAAAATATAGGTATAGGTAAGTATAAATTATGAAAGACTAATTTTATAATTGAAAGCTTTTTATTTGAAATAAATCATACACTCTCAGTACAGAGGGATATATTCTTCATTATAAAAGAATATTGTTACATTTGCAAATCATTTTTTGTTTAAGTACAATTGAGTAAAGACTTTTTTTATGATTGCATCATTTTGAGCAGTCGATGTGTTGTCAAAAAGGTGAACAAAGTCCACCATCTTCATATTGTGGTGAGTGGTACGAAGATACAGGTACACCAGACAGTAGTGAGCGCAGACAGAAGAGTCGTCACTTTGGAGGCGGTGATCATTGTAGATGTAGCGACACTTGGCGTTACGTTTCAGGAATCCCTGGTAGGTCGGTAAGTATGGTGGCTGGCCATAGCTGTCAAAGTATTCAATTATTCCATTTCTATTCAAATAGAATGACACCCAATGTGTACCCCCTTCGTTGTGCGGATCAGTGTTGACAATCATGGCGGTGGATGGAGAGATGTGTTGTGGGATTCGGTCAGCAGCGTAAACTCCCACATTGCTCACAGGTAGTTTGGATAGATGCCTTTCTATCTGCACTGTGTTCATTCTACAGTATCATAACCAATAGTAGCGGCAGAGGCAGCAGTAGTAGTTGTACTAGTAGATGTGCTAAAACAAGAGCAGTAGTAGGATCTCGCATCTCCACTGGTATCCACACATTCATCCAAATTTGTTGTCAGATGTAACCACCCACGTATTGCGACACAGTTGGTGAGCGCACATCGACTGTTTATAGACTTGTGATTGCGACATCGCAAAACGTTTGTTGACATTAAATTATTGATTGAAGTGATTGATTCGCAACCAATTGCACCAATATCGATTACGTTGGTAGTAACAAAGTCCATCACATGATGACGCTTTAAATATTCTTTCTTCTCAAATCCCTTGACGTAAACCGTCGGTCTTCTTGATATACAATCAGTCAATTTGTTAAAAAGTTCATAGTACGGAATATCACCGAACTCCCATCGTAGTCCGTGGCAGTGTTTTGTGAGCCAGTAGCTTTCCCGCAATTTTTCATCTGACAACTCTGATCGATCGTAAGGTGGTTTAGCAATATGATGCATAAGTAGAACGCCGGTGTCAGCTTCCAAGACGCAAACTTCCTTCAGTGTATATTCATTTTGGTTGTCCTTGAAACATTGAATGTCCACAATGATGGGTGATAATATATTCAATTTCTTGAATGCTCTGCGTAAACGGTCCATCTCAAACGAATGTTTATAGAAGACTGATCGATTAACCGCCAAAGTCCACAATTACATTGCGTTGTCGATCAATCTCGATGACATTGTCAAACTCGGCATAAACCAAACAGTTAACAGTTTCGGGAAGCGCGTCGTCGAATCCGAGTTCCATTCGAACACTACCGTTACGCACCAGATTCCAATGTGTTGTGTCACTTGCAGATAAGTCTGGAGTTAGGTCGAATGCCATCAGACAGTATCCTTGTCCAAAGTCTTCCCTACTGATAACGGTGCCGGCATCGCTAAAATGTACACCAGAACCGGAGAACATCGAATGATATGCCATAACATATTTATCCTTTGATTTTTCAAAGTGGGGCTGTAATGGTTTTGATGGAACTTGTTCTCCGTCAACATATAGACAAAAGAAGTTTGTTTTAAAATGTTCGAAGTTGTAGGGATTCTTTTTAAAATCTCCATTGTATGCGGCATTCGTAACCATTCCCACTATGATGCGTTTCGGCACTTGGCCGAGAAACATATTGTCCAAAGTCTTGTTACGTATTCCAGAGGGTAGTGTAAATGTTTTCAGCTCCACTCGTGTGATTGGATATTTTGCCGTACCAGTCTGGAGTGTTTTACTGTGCGCCAACAGTGCGGTGGGACTTATTTTGCATCTTCGAATCCAGAGACTAATATCGACAATATGTACCTTGAATTCACCAGCGCTGGCCATAATGGAGAACGCATCTTTTGATCGAATAAATTTAAATCTCAACTCTACGCCATTTAGCATGAACTTATTCTGATTGCAAATATCCACATGCAAATGTCCGAGCATATCAATCTCACGGCTTTTATTAGTTAGCTCCCGTCTCGCTTTGAGTCCTTCATTTTCTTCCGCGCAATCGTTCATGTCAATACCATCGTCCGTGTACCAAAGACTGCATGTTAGATGTGATTTTCTAGCATCGTATCCATAGTTCATTAACGTTTCAACGTAAGCTCGATATGCATATGTGTTGTTTTGGGGCGTAACAAGTTTTTGATTCATAAACATATCCACTTGACTAAATAGTGAGTGTAGCCAGTTGTTGACTGGCCCAACTGTTTTCGCCTCTTCGTCAGTAGTGACCGCAGTTCCATTAGATTTAACAATAGACGCGGTCAATTGTATCATTGTTTGTGAAAGGTCAGTATATTCATCGCCATTACCCGGAACTACAAACTCTATTGGCGCATCATCGGTCAATGTGGATATTGGTTTGTACTGGACCCATTTGCCGCTTTCAATACTCGTCTGCGTAGGTGGTAAGGAGAATAAATCCAGCTCGGTCTTGACACACTCACATGATTTTTGATGTAGAAACGACATTTTACTCCTTCTTCTTTAACTAACTAAAAATATCAATAGACTTTAAATTTTCACTGCGATAAGTACGCTTCTTCGGCGAAGTCACCTTCTTCATTGACTCTACTCCTCCTCGTTGTCGTTGTTGTCGTCTCCCTACTAGTCTCTTGTGTTTCACTCCTCCTCTTCTTGATGCAGACGTCCGCACTCTAAGAAGTTTAGCCAACGACTGTGGTGTAACAGGCTTTCTGCCACGGCCGTGCATTGCGCGTTTCGCAGAAGCCTTTCGCGTTGCGCGTTTCGCGTTACTCTTACGCGTTACGCGTTGTCTTTTCGCGCTAATGCCACCTCCACCACCAAGCATCATACGTTCCATCTGCTCGTCAGCTTTACGTTTCAACGATCCAGTAAACTCTCTAAGTCGTAAGCTGGCGGCTGTTTTTGGATCTGTAATTTTACCACCTGCCAGATCGGTTAGGAATCCAACACCGGATCTTAATGCTTCTTGTCCTACCGATTTTGTTCCGGACTTGATCAGCGGAGCGATAGTGCGAATCATACCGCCCAGAAAACTACCGATTCCATGCCCTCGCTGATATGGTGCACCGTGAAATACTCGATCAATAGCACCGCCAGTCTGTTGTAATTGTTGCCGTCGGTAGTATGCCAAATAGGGATCATTCAGATTGATTATCATTATTGCTGCACTCTCCTAAAATGAAGTTTCACGTACGACGTTCCAAACATGAATGGCAGTTTTTTCCCTGTGTGATCCCTCAGGTCGATTTCCACTGTTTCAAATGTGGATTTCATAACGGGTACATAGTGCGGACTTGTGAATGACACTGAATTGTACGATCCGTACTTGTACGTATCTATATTGACGTTGACAATATTCAATAATGGTGCTGTAGTATCGCCGATAAATTGTGGCTCTATTAAGTCGCAATACACATAAATGTGCGCTGGAATGCCCAATGCGAGGTTTGGCACTTTAGAACCAATCAGTTCGGTAATATTTGGTTTTAATATATTTTTCTCATCATAATCAAAACCCAACTGCTGTGATAGTTTTTCACTCAGACTCACATTCGACACGTTTTCGTTCATGATCCTGAGTTTAACTCTGTTGATTCTCGTGTCGTATGAAAATTCCATATAATCGTGGATGTCTTCATGTTTGTTGATTGTATTCAATAGATCATCAAGATTCCTATAGTATCCACCTGTTATTTTAATAGCGAAATGTTCTGTATCGCGGATCGTTGATCTCGCTAATAAACTATCATACTGAAATCGTATTGTTTCGTCATCAACATTGTTTCCGTTCACCACAAATGAACAAGGATAGTGAATGTCCACCAAAGCCAATTCCCACTTCCCGTCTAATTGGATGTGTTTGGACAAGTGTGTGGTATAACTGGTCACTGTATTTTGTGGGAAATATTTCATAGAACTATTGCTGGGCAATGTCATGAAAAATTGACTGATGTTAGACATGTTGTAAATCGTGCGCAGCTACCCAAGAGTTAAACTCGTCTCCGTAACCTTCCCACTTCACTAGGTATCGCTTACTGTGTCCTCGACCTTTGGTCTCTATTATTTTATCAATCTTAAACAAGTGATTGACGGGTAATGTGACTTTTTGTATTTCCTCTTCATAAAACTGTCCATTCAATTCTTCACCATTGAGATCGGTAAGTGTGTACAAAGGTAGCGGCATAAACAAATTCACTCGATGTATCGAAAACACTTCTTTACTCCAGTTTGTCTCGTAGCCTTTGCTAAATCTCCCTTTCTCCCTGGCTATTCGAACTGTATCGCCTACTTTTAGTTTTGGTTTCACTCGTCGTGGTATCTTTTTAAACATATGTTTTAATACATTGTAGATGACATGTTTGTCCCCACCGTCCACATCTACAG